GTAGGGAAAAAGCTATCTATATAATATAATATTTAATTATTTGGCCATAAGTTTATAAATTTTATGAACTTATGTCTCCTACTTATTAAACTTTTAGTGATCGGATGACAAAATTAAATAAGGATGGAGAGAGTCCAACCCATTTATGACACAAATTTTATCCTATTGGGTTACAAAAGTTTGCATTTAATTTAGACTTAAAATTTACAATTTATCAAGTGGCTTAGTGCTAGCCTAGCAAGCCCAACCTATTTTTCTAGCTTTAAATTCAAGGTTTGCCCTGAAGCTTAAACTTTAGGCTCAAATACAAAAAAAAAATATTTGTTATTAGTTTTATTAAAGTAAAAGACAACATACATGTTTGTAAAAAAAATTAAAAAAAAATTTAAAAAAAATCAACATATACATATATTATTTAAATAATTAATTATCTTTCACAATTTGTGTTAAGCCTTCATTAGGTCAACCATGCTTCATTTAGGTTATGAAAATAAGTTATAAGCTTTTAAAATAAACTCTTATAAGTTCCTGAATATCTTATTAAGAGACTCTCAAATGTCTCAAACTAATTTTATAAAATTTTATTTAACTTATGTCTCCTACTTATTAAACTTTTAGTAATCACATAGCAAAATTAAATAAGGATACAAAGACTCGAACCCATTTATCACACAAATTTTATCATACCAGATTACAAAAGTTCACATTTAATTTGACTTGAAATTTAGAGTTCAAATCTTATAATTTATTGGGTGAGTTCATGTCAGCCTAGCAAGTATAGCCTATTTTACTAGCTTTAAATTCAAGGTTTGCTCAAGGATAAAGTTGCTAAAAACTTAAACTTTAGGCCCAGATGCAAAAAAGTTATTCGTTATTAGTTTTATTAAAGTAAAAAAGGTAACATACATGTTTGTAAATTAAAAAAAAAAAAAAAAAACTCAACTTATACATATATTATTTAGATAAATAATTATCTTTCACTATTTGCGTTAAGCCTCCCTTAGGTCAACCATGCTTCCATCATGTTAGATTATGAAAATAAGTTATTACAAAACACACATAGGCCATAAGCTATTATAATTAAAGACCTAGAATTTATAATTGTTGTATTAATTATTTACTTATTTAGATGTTTTAAAAGACTAAATTTTAGCAATTATTTTTTATTAATCAATTCATTAATAGAGGCGTTCATGCATCGATTTGATTTAGATTTTGGGTAAATTAAAGTCTAAAAATCAATTAATTTTAATTGGTTTGATTTGAGTTAAATCAAATTTACCAAAAAAAAAATTATGATGTGAACCAAATCAAACCAATCAACAAGGGGTTGTTTATTTTGGATTAATTGATTTTCTTTAAAAATTATACATTTTTTAAAAATAAAAAAAATACATTATTTTGCCCCAAAATTATAATAAAAACCTATTATTAAAAGAGTGTAAATAACATTTAAGTATAAATAAAAAAAGTAATATAAAAAATATATAATTAAAGTAGTCTAATATTTGAAACTAGAGTATTTCAACATTTAAGAAAGCTAAGGTAACTAGTCCTTCAAATATTACTAAATTATTTAAGTTACAATCATTATCTAAATAATCTTCATACATTCTAATTATAATAAGATCATTATATATTACTAATAAAATCAAATTATTAAGATAATAATAATAATAATTTTAATTAGTTTGATTCTTGGATCATCAGATTTGTAAAATGCAAACTCATAATCTGAACCAATTAAAGTTGGATTTAATTGGTTTTGATCAAATTTGGTCAAAAAATCAAACCAACTTAATTAGTTTTACTCGAATCATTGCTATTATCGAACTTTTTGAATAAAAAACACTCTTATTAATATTGTGTTAAAAATCTATTATTAAAAGATTGTAAATAACATTTAAGTATAAATAAAAAAAAGTAATATAAGAAGTATGAATTTAAAGTAGTCTAATATTTGAAACTAGAGTATTTCAACATTTAAGAAAGTTAAGGTAACTAGTCCTTCAAATATCACTAAATTATTTAAGTTACAATCATTATCTAAATAATCTTCATACATTCTAATTTTAATAAGATCATTATATGTTACTAATAAAATCACATTATTAAGATGATGGTAATAATAATAATAATAATAATAATAATAATAATAATAATAATAATAATAATAATAATAATAATAATAATAATTTTAATTAGTTTGATTCTTGGATCATCAGATTTGTAAAATGCAAACCTATAATCTGAACCAAATAAAGTTGGATTTAATTAGTTTTGATCAAATTTGGTCTGATAAAGAAAAGATCAAACCAACTTAATTAGTTTTATTCGAATCATTAGTATTATCGAACTTCTTGAATTAAAAACACTCTTATTAATATTGTATTTTTTTTAAATCCGTGTTTTTATCATATATTTTTAATTACTTTATTTTATTATTCATTAATTTCTTACGTTCACACTTATAATTACTTTTTTTTAATTTAGACTTATTTAAAAAAATATTTCTTTAGCCTGTTACGGTCTGTCGTCAACTCTCCAGTTTTCTTATTTCAAATTTCGAAGTTTTAAGTTTCTCTTTGTATTACTCTTACTAATTTTGTTGTCCCAATAAAAGTTGAGAAGAGCTTGTTAAACATGGGAGACTTGTGCATTACCCAAATAAGTCTTTGAAGATACCTCAATTTGTCTCTCTTGTGATAATTTGAGTTCGTGGATTTGAGATCGGCTTGTGATTCCTAATTTCACCTACCTGCAACAATGTCTAGACTTAGGTAAGATCTAATCCTAACAACTTTTGGGTCTTTTATTTATTACCAATTTTTTCATTTTCAATCTTAATCACTTGATGGCAATGATATTCTGATATCCTTTTTATCTTGAAATGCTTCCAATAAATAAATAAATTAGACCGTGATGTCTAGGATTGCTAGGAGTAATTTGGTAATATTGTGTGATACCATTTTTTTTTTGGCATGTTTTATGCCAAATAACTTCTCTATTCTACTGTTATGATGTTTGGCATAATATTTGATTTGGGTTGTTTTTTTTCTTTTTTTTATTTTTATTTGGGGATTTGTGTTCACCTTGTGGTTTTAGACTTCCAATTTTTAGTTTCATGGTTTTAGTATCTTAATTTTGTAAAATTTGTAATTTTTATCTTATCTTTAAATGTTTATCTGTTGTTACTTTTAAAGTTATAAAATTAATAATGACTTAATATTAAGCTAATGATATGATTTAGTATTTAATAATATTTAAATTAAATTATACTTTTGATCCTATTTTTATTTTATTTATATGATAATTATTATTTTATATGTTGATTTGAATTAATGAAATAAAATTTTAAATAATTTTCAAAAATTTTAAAACTTTGGATACTTGATCTATGCATTAAGAACTTTTAATTTAATAATTGAATTGTTAAAATTTGATATAGAACATGACTTATTGAGTGGAGTAAGTAGATTCCTCCTTGGGATGTCAACGAGGCGAGTACGAATAGTAGCTCATTGTTATCTTTTTTATTGGATAAATATCTGTCTCATACCCATCCCTATACCCATGTGAGTATTCAATGAACAAATACCCGCATATTTTTTCAATATTTGCAGATATCCACAAATACTTACGAGTATTTACTAAAAAATATCTTAAAAATATTCAACAAAACATTTTAATCATACATTTTAATTATTTGTAATAATTTTTTTCTTTTAAAAGTTATAAAAAATCTACATAAAAAAGTTTAAAGAATATAACTAAAATTGAAATAAAACTTGCATAAAAAAGTTTGAAAATTATAAAATTCAAATTCAAATATTCTTCACAATTATACTACTACTAATAATAAGTGAATTTAAAATTTAAATTTTAAATGTTCGACCATATAAATTTAAAGTTCAAATAATAATTATTAAAATAAAATATCTTGATTACACATAAATCAAAATAAAAGATAATAGAATATAATACTTAACTATTATGAGTCTAAACAAAGTTTAAATAAAATCAAATTCATACAAATTCAAATAAAATCAAATTCATATAAATTCAGATAAATTGAATATTAGTAGATATGAGTATTCGCAATACAAATACTATAATACTTCCTATCCTCCCCATTAACATGCAAGTATAATAAATATTGATACATGTTATTTGTAAATATCTATTTACAATATTTATTTTTTATTTGTTATGAATTTTATCCACAAATACTCGTGGGTACAAATTTTTTTTTTTTACATCCTAATCCCTCACATTATATATATATATATATATATATATATATTTTATAATATAA